GCATCTCTAATAATATTCGGGTAAATTGGGTTTATGTGATTAAAGATCACATGTTGAAGGCAAAAAGGTTGGCGGATTACAAACTGCCGTATGCCATGTTGATTAACAATTTCTTTAGATATTTTGAAGTTGATCTTATAGGAGAAAGTATAGAGACTCCTAAAGCTTCAAATGAAATCGATGACTCCAATTTGAGAAAAATGGGATATATCAAAATTGATGATGAATGGATTTCAAAAATTGATGTTGGGATGTCTGAAGATGAGGAAGAAGATGAAGAAGAAGATGAGCAAGGTCAAATTCCTTCTTCTCCAGCTGCTGCAGAGGTTCCCGAATCCACTGGTGGGGAGGCATCATATGAGAACATGGAGATAATTCCCTACATGGAACAACCTGACCATGGGACTCCTCTGTCTCAATTTGAAAGGTCTATGCTTTCTCAAATGGCCACAATGCAGGAAAACCAAAGGAAGCATATGCAAATGACTTATCAACACTTCCAGCAGACCAACAATCAGTTCACAAACCTTGGAAACCAGATTGCTGATATTTACACCAAACTGGAAGATATGCAGCTCAATCAAGGGAATTGGGATGATTGAGTTTTTGAAAAAAGGGTCCCTTCCTATCTTTTTCTTATGTCATATTTCTTTTACTGCTAATTTTCATTTCTGGTCTGTAATATTAATTGGTTTTAAACCAAGAACAATCTTTTAACTTTGCTCAATATGATGTAGGTTTTAATTTGAATTAAGAGAGCCTAGATAGAATCAAACATACTTTTCTGATAATTTTAGCTGATACAAAATAGATTTAATCGATTAAATCAATTAAAAAAAATACTTACATAGGAAATTCACATCAAAATAATCGATTAATTAGCATATCAATCGATTAAAATCTGTATGTCATGTATTTGTATCAACTAAAACTAGTTTACATCAGATAAATCAACTAGATAAGATACTATTCTGATTTTGATGGATCTATTGGTTAAAACTTAATCAATCTAGTTGATATTATCTTAAAACATTTTCCTAATAATCGATTTTACAAAATCCGAACTGAATTGGGCATTTTAGATACATCAAACAAACACTTAGTTTTCAAAACTGTTTGTTTTAATCGATAAAATCAAATTTCAATCGATTAAAAGCACTTATACAAAATTTTTCTTACTGTTTTAATCGATTAAATGTCGATTTTATCGATTAAATGAACTTAGGTTTCTAGATTTATGATTTCATCACTGTTTTAATCGATTAAAACAATATTTCAATCGATTAAAACCAGTAACAAGAACTTTTTAATCGATTTTGTCCTGTTTTTAATCGATTATTACTCTAGAAAGAAAAATTAAAGGCTTTAGTTAATGGTTGTTCTTGTAACATGCTACTAAAGCATGGTTCCCTTATCTTTACACGTATTAATTGTATTCATTACAAACGTGTTAATGAAGATAAGTTTGAATCAACTTTGATTGATCTTTATATGAGTAAAGTATCTTGTTCAAATTTTTTATTGTTTTCAAAAACTAAATTTTGATACATACCATGCATTGTATTTGCTTTGTTCCTCTGTTCCCTATTTTTGATGAAGTCAAAAGGGGGAGAAATAATTGCTTTGATTTTAATATTAATTTTCCTTATTTAGGGGGAGTAACAATATAGGGGGAGAAATGGGAAAATGATAAATTTTTTAATACTCACTAATCTATATATTCAAATAACTTTTTCTGCAGAGAAATTATTCAAAGAGGTATTTGTCTTTATCAAATAGGGAGAGACTGAAAGTGATGAAGATCTTATTGAATTACTTGAGCAAAGATCTTGTTGATTTGATGAAGTCAAAATGAAGTCAAAGGCTACTGTGCTGCAGTCAAAGGTCACTTAGATAAAAGGGTAGTGTGATTAGTGAGTCTACTTAGGTATAATCATTTTTATCTCTCTACTGCATGAGGTCTCTTCATTTAAAAGATTTTGCAAATGCCTCTAAAACGTGTTTAAACGGTTAAAAATAAAGTATTTTGTTAAAAGGTTTTTGAAGTAACTATTTTAACTAATAGTATATGAGCTTTATCAACTAAAATGTTCTTAACACTTTTGTAACAGGTTTTTAACTGATATGTTTTTGAAATAATCGATTGTTTTCATTAGAAGGATTTTTGAAAACCTTTTGCAAGTATTTTAACTGATATAGAATTGATATAATCGATTAAAATGACTTAGAATATTTTGAAAAGTGTTCTGGAAGAATTTTAATCGATACAAACTCGAAATAATCGATTAAAATAACTTGAAGTATTTTGAAAGTTGTTCGTCAAGTATTTTAATCGATACAAATGCAAAATAATCGATTAAAACAACTAAGAAGTTTTCCCATAATGTTTTAATCGATTAAAACAAGCTTGCTATTAGTTAAAATAACTTAGAAAGTTTTATGAAATCTTTTGGCAGAATTACAATCGATTAAAATGCGTTTCAATCTATTAAAATAACTAAGTGAATTTTTTCCAAAGAGTTTTAATCGATTAAAACATATTGTTATCAGTTAAAATCACTTAGAAAATTTTATAAGAATGTTTAACAGTATTTTAATTGATTGAAAGATCGAAACAATCGATTAAAACAATTTGGAAGATTTTTTACAAAGAGTTTTAATTGACATAAACGTTGTCGTATCTCGTTAAAACAAATCTGGAAAATAATCAAGAACATTTTAACAGATTAAAAGAAGTTTTAACAGATTAAAACAAGACTTTTAACAGATTAAAAAATTATTTTAACAGATTAAATAAACCAGCAGTTTGGAAAATCTTCTATAAAAACATAATTGCTTGAACCTTTTTAAACACACCTTTTGGCAATCAATCAAGCAATCAGAAGTGCTACTTTCAAGAGAGAATCACGATAGTTTTGTGAAGTTCTTAGAAGTCTTTCTTGAGGCAATATTTGCATTCTTTTGGAGAAGAAACTCATTCTGTAGAGTTGCATAAACCTGGTTTGGGTGTTCTAGTTTCTTCTCTTTGTTTCTTTACTTTCATTACTGTATTGTGGGTGCCTGGAATTGTGGGCACTAGTTTCTGTGGCTTGAATTTGGCTGCAGGATTGTTCAAGAACTGGAATTTGGTTCTTGGTAAAGGTTTAGGTGCAGGGACTAGAATTTTGGTTATTGTGGTAGATTGAGTGTGGGATTGAAGTTGTAATCTGTAAAACGTTCAATCTAGTGGAACCCAGCTGGAATTTGGCTGGAAACTGGACATAGCCCTGGGATTGGGTGAACTAGTATAAATATTGGTTGTATCTTTCTAAACCTTTCTCTCTTTAATTCTGTCATTGCCTTTATTTTGATTGTTTGTTGTGATTGATTCAAGAATTGGTCAGAACTCTTAATCTTTGAAATAGATAATCTGTAAATTGTGAAAATCTTTCAAAGATCAATTCACCCCCCCCCCCTCTTGATCTCAACCTACATTTCTAACAGAGTCTGTAATATTAGAGTCTAAGATAGCCAGCACATAGTCTACTCTTTAGAAGCTTCAAAAACTCATTTTTACCAAAAACACACTGGTTTAATCGATTAAAAGGCCAAATAATCGATTATTACAGAGAGAAAAACCATTTTCTGTATCAGCTCTCTGTAATAATCGATTAACACTCCTGTTAATCGATTAACAGGCATGTTAATCGATTAACAGGGCAAATAATCGATTAAAACAGTGCGTTGTGGGTTCCTGTTTATTTTGGCTCTGTAATAATCGATTAACACTTGAGATAATCGATTATTTCAGTCAGATATGCATTTTGAACTTCAAATTAAACCTATTTTCGAAAACCCTAGTCCCAATACACCAAGTTTCGAAAATCCCCAATTCCCAAACCCTAATTCATCTACTTAAGGTTCTCTAAGGCTCTCAGAAAATTGAACAACCTTTTTCAAACAAAAGTTGAGAGCTGTGATTGCCAGAGAACTGTTTGTTGGAGGAAAAATGGGCTTTTGGAACCTGATGTGGGCTAGAAGCGATAAGAATCACTAAGTGGAGTTCTTGGTGGATTGTGTGTTGTGTCATCTCTAGGGAAAGTTGTCCTTCATCTCTTGTGTGACTTAAGAAAGGTGTTTTCATTACTTTATCTTTTCCATTGTTATCTGTTTGTAATAAATTTGATTATAGTGACAGCGTTAATCCTCTGTTTGAGTGATTAGCAACTGGACGTAGGGTCTTTTGATCCGAACCAGTATAAATCTTCTGTGTAAGACTCTATCCTTATCCTATTTACGTTTACATAGCATTTTAATCGGTAAAATTTGGGGAAAATTTTTAAAACCTAATTTTTGTTAAGAAACCAATTCACCCCCCCTCTTGGTTTTTGTCCGTTCATGCAAACATTCCGTTGCGCGATTCCAATAGTCCATGCCTCATTTTTAGGATGGATGGTCGTCTAGGTAAGGTGGACGGCCGTCCATAGCTGAAAAATCAGAGTGGACGACCGTCTAGTTGTGCCGGACGACCATCCACTACTTCCCTGACAAAAATGATTTTTTATTTCCCCAGAAATCCCTCCTTATTCTAACTGAGACCTAGTAAACACTACTAAAGGCCCTATGAAGCTTTATTCTTCTTTAGAACGAATGATTTTTGGCCTTTTTGTGGAGTTGGGCAAGATTTGGGGTCTACAAGGTATTACATTAAACTATATATTTTAACATTTAATTGTAATAGTGAAGTTTGCAATAATAGTTGTCAATGTTTTTTTTTTTGAAGCAAGATCGTCTGCTTCCAAATGGTAAGTGTCCCCAATTAAGCTTTATGACTTGTTAGAAGAATTGTGGGAAATTTTGATCATGTCATCATGTGCATGACATGGATTGCATGTCAAGTTCGTAGATGCAGGAGTTTCATAGTGGACTTAGGCATTGATCTAAACAACGTTGCTGCAAATCCTTTTATGCACCATGAATATACTCCAACATTTAATAAGATGTAACCCAATCCACCACATATGGATTCATATTGTCGAGGTGTCTCTCCATTAGTCCCTTCTACTCCTTTTGCAGGAACGTCTTCATCAAAGGGCACAAAGAGAAAAGTCATCATGATCGATGTAGACTTGAATGCACAACTTGAAAGTATGAGCACAGGGATATACAAACTGGTGGATAGCATCGATGAGAGTAATAAATACTCTGCAAAATTGACAAAGGTGGTTGAACGTCAATGTGATCTTGTAGAACATTATATTATTGTTTTTAAGTGTTAGATCATGATCATGGAAAGACGAACTGACTTGATGAGTGAACAAGTCATGATCCAAAGATGCTCTACAACTATTATGTCAACTCGAGTTGCATGATAATTGATGTTACAATTTTATGAGTTTATCTACAGAAACCCCATCCACACATGTATGCTTTTTGGCATGACACCAAAATTACAACTAAAATATGTTTTGAAATATATAACCGATGGAGGCTTGTTGATGAGTCCCTAGATGCCCCGGAGACCGAAGAGGACATCCCTTGGAGGATCACTAGGAGCATAACTAAAAGGGAGACTTCTTTCTCACCCTCCACTTTGAATTTTCTTAGCATTTATTTTCTTAAATTTTAGAAACTCATTTTCGCATTTTTTTTGTAGGACCACTTTATACACCTCCTTTTTGAAGACCACCACCTCTTTTTTTAAGTGTCTTATCTTGAACCTTGGTTCAAGAGGTGGCAACCACCACTTATCTAGGGTGGATCATCCCCTAGTGGCGTGCCAACACTCCACCACCACCATACTTCTCTTTTCTTCTTTATTTATTCACTCTATTTATTTATCCAAGGGACTGGTCCATTTTTTCAACCATTGTCTTTATTCTTTTCTAGTTTCATTCCATCTCCTCCTCCCTCCACAATCCTTGGAAATGAACCTTCACATCTAGATAGGCAACTATCTTAATGTCCAGTGGGAATTTTTCTTGGGTTTGCTTACTTTATTGCTTAAAATTTTGCACCTTATCTTCTTAAAATTCTACATCTTACTTTATTTTACATCACTTGTCATAGTTGATTTCTAAGTTTTCATTTTTAAAATAATGTTACTTTTAATATTTGAAATTTTCATATATTGTTTGTAAAATATTATTTTAGTGTTGTACTTATGTTTAATTTACTTGTTTATATATGATTTTCTATTTATATTTTAATATAAAGAGTTAATGTATATAACAAATGTACTAATGTTACTTTACTATTTATATGTTTCTCCATCATGTCTTCATCATCGTCTAAATCAAAGAAACAGAGATATGCCTCACAAAGTAAGGGGAAAAAAGGCAATAAAGGGTGATAAACTTGTCCCTCCTAGAAACTTGCTTCGGGTCCCCACTCTAATTTTAATAATGAAAGATAGATGAAAAAATATTGTACAGACTATGTTAACAGATCCATAGTCCCACTCAAATGTGATGGACTTTAAATTTTTTATTATGGTTGAGTTTGAATGAATTCCCTCAACACTTGTCTTTTCAGGGGCTAGATAGATTTCTAGCTTCCACAAGTTGAATATCTCATAAAAGTATTATACAAAAATTTGAAATTGAATGACATAAATGATCTTGTTATTGAGATTCTATGGAGGCAAGTCAGGATAAAGCCTAATGATTGGCTAAATGTGGCCAAATTGAAATATCAAGGTCGTCGCGTTGATCTCGCTGACATCCCTAAAGACTTAAAATATGATAAGGATGAGACTTTGGTTGCAATTATTAGACCGGAGCTGCATGCACGAACTTGTAGGAATGTTGGTAGTTTGATCATCAAGGACAAACATCTACATTATGCCCAAGTGTTGCACGATGATATTTTTATAATATGATACATAAAACATTGCATTCCAATTAATTGGTCTCACTATATCATCCAACACATGAGAAAGTGCATGACTAATGGTATGTCTCTACCTTATGGTCTTTTAATCACTCATTCTACTACATCTAGGGATTGATTTGATTTTACAATCAAGTATGTCCATAGTGTTGTCAAATAAGTTTAATGAGAGATCTCTTAAAATGTTGAATAATGTAAACATTAATGGTGCATGGTAATATGTCAAGGGTCACCATGTCTAGCAACTTAACCCTGGGGAAGATGACCCTTCCAGTGGAGATAAAGATGCGAGACTTCATTAATAATAACTAGGGATTCAAGGAAAACAAGTACATCTTCCTGAACAAAGTGCTACCATAAACTTAATATGGGATTTATGCAAGATATGCAACAACTTATAAGTAGGATTGAAGTCACTATTCAGAATAATTATAGTAATCTTTACGGAGGTATTAACTATATACTATAGGATTGATCAAGTTAAAAATACACTTGATCATATTTTAAAGAGTCTTGAGTAGACATGGATTGATGATATTATTATTATCTTTATATATGGACTTTTAGTTAACTTTTTTGTATTATTGTACTATTTTTTATTTAATTTTCTTTTGGATGATTGTAATTTGTTTTTATTTTGGATGATCTGTACTTCTCGTCGGATACTATTTTTATTTAATGTGATATAAATATATTATTTTTTATATAAATTTGTAGAATTTTAATATTATGTATATTATAAAAGTAAAAAATAGTTTAAATATTTTTATAAAATATCACAAGCAATTTTTTAAACTTATATATAAATTAATTTTTTTATGTAAATTTTTATCTATTTTTTTAAATAATTTTTTCATATTAAATTATATCTCTATTTTAAATTTATATTTATTTTAATTAAAATAAATTATAAGAGATATTTTAGTCATTCATTAATTTATATTATTATTTTTTTTAATCAATAATATATTCTCTCATATTTTTATGTATTTCTCCTCAATTTTCACTCTCTTTCCCTTTAATCTAACGAACCTCAATTTCCATTTTCTTTTTCTTCTTTGTTATCCTCCCAAATTCATTCCACATTCAAAACAGAAGATGGAGTTAGAAATTGGATTCAAAATTCAGGTACAGTGTTTAGTTTTGAGATCAACTCACTAATACAAATTCAGGTACAGTGTTTAGTTTTGAGATCAACTCACTAATACAAAAGATAAGGAAGATAAAATAATAATAATAAATCTTTTATTATCTTCTTTAATATTTTTTATGAAATTTGTTTCGGTATACAAATATAAAAGATAAAATTAAATTAAATTCTTTGTGAATTAAAATTAACTCATGTATATGTTAATTTTTTAAAAATCTCTCGTATAAAATTGATTCTAAGTTGAAATAAGAGGATATCTCAACCTCATTTTAGGTAACCTCCAACACTTGCGCGCCTTGAACCGAAACTTTGAATTGATAGCTGGAGCCCCCCTCTTCTTCTTTAGCTCCTTTTAATACCTATAGTTAATAATAGTTAATACCTCTGGCCGTTGCTTTTTGAGAAACTAATTCTATTGGGTGGCTTCATCTACGACCAACCGCGGAAGTAGTTTGAAGAGTCTCTTTCTATGTTATTATGATTTCTTGATGCAATATATTGAAAATTAGATGATATTAGACTATTCACATGAAAAAAAGAAAAATAATTTAGAAATTGGTTCATTATTTTTTTAAATAATTGAATTTTATTTAAATTAGTACAAATTACTAGAACTTTTCTAAAATAAAAAATTAATATTAACATTTTAAATATCATATTTTAATAAAATATTTTTTTTAACTTACCACAATTTTAAATAATAATTATTTTATTATATTTTTATCTTATTTTAATTATTATTATTTTTTATTCTCTAATATATATTTTATATATATAATATTTATTATATTTTATTATCGATTACTTATAAATTTATAATATATTTATTATATTCTAAAATATTATTTTATTAAATTGAATTAAAGATGAAATATGACCAAATCTTTAAATCTTAAATTTCTATTTTATGTCTTTTCCTTATTCAAAATCTAGTCTAATTTTAAAAATATTGACCCATGACTTATTGAATTTGAGGATAAGTTTATCACTAATAGAAATTCATTACCAATAATGGAAAATTCAATAGAATTTAAGGACGGAAACATTTAAAAAAAAAGGCATAGACTCTCTACTTCTCTCTTATTAGGTCTTCAACGCTGAAAAGTTTTCCATATTCTAGTTATTAAAAATGTTTAATCTATCATTATTTAAAGTTTTTTTTATAAAAATTTTATTGATTTGGGAAGTATTTGTTCTGCTTCATAATTGTGAATGTTTATCACCATTTAAATGTTTTAACTCATTTATGTTGATAATAATGCTTCTTGCATTTGCTGCCAATGAAGTTATGATAGAAATAAAATAAAAAATGGTTACATTTATATATTCCTTGCTTAAATTTCATAGAAATTCGTAATCTTAATTTGATAATTCGACATAAGAAATAATAAATAAAAAATATTACCAAATTTAAGAAAATTGAAAATGGGATCGGAAGATCGACAACAAGAATTTAAAACTTGGAAAATGATACTTTGACAACCCAAATTCATTCAACTCCTCTAAACAACTCTCTTTTAATATTATAATAATAGTTTTATTTTATTTTTTATTTTTATTAAATCATTCTATAGATTATTATATTAATAAAAGTGAGTTGTTTGAAAGGTTGTATGGTTTCTGGTTGTCAAAATATCAGCACTCTTAAAACTTTTAGGTTTTTATATTTTAATGATTGAATTAATCTATCTTCGTAAGTTGAGTGTAAAACATGACAACAAGACAATAAGGAGGAGAAAAAAAAATCTCCAATAAGTTCACAAGTTAGCTTTAATGTTTAGAGTTTAATGTGAGTAAGATTTGATATATATTTGTAAATTTTCCTTTTTGAAGCTTATTTGGACAATTAGATCTCTAGATAAGTTCTTCATATCTTAAGAGTAGATGATTTGGGTGTGTGAATGTGACTTAATTACAATATTTGATTTCCAAGGATTATGATTGAATTGTGCATTTTAGAATCTTTACAAAGTAAAATGTTGTTTAGTATGATTTTTATGTTAATGATGTTAGTATTGTATTGGTTGTTGTATGCATGTAGTTAATGTTAAGAGAAAATAACTTAGTCCAATTACAATAGACTTAGGTAAAAAATTTAGTAAAAAATGTGTTGGAATGATCTTGAATGTCTACGGATTCACTTGGAATATTTTATCAAGTTTGATATATGCGAAAATTAAC